CGTTTCAATGCCGTCTTGTGGCCGTCTTTGGGAGCTACTTTGGCGATCCATGGGTCCTCTTGGGCCGATTTGGTGCCCCTTTGAGGGCCTCTTGGGCCGTCTTGGAGCTATCTTACAGGCCTTTCGGAAGCTTCTTGGCCGTCTTTAGCGGTCGGGATAGCCTCAAAGTTTTTCAGCAACCTAAGGGCAATCGTTTTGGCCCGCCTCGGGCTCTTCAGGAATGCCTCTTGAATCTTTCTCGGGCCGTCTTGGGGCCTTTTGTGCCGTCGGTATTTTGAGCCGTCTTGAGGCTCTCTTCAGAGCTGTCCTGGGCCATTTTGAGACGTTTTGTTATCGTTTTGGCTGTCTTGGAAGCTGTTTTGGAGGCCATCTTGGCTGTTTTGTTTGGAGGCTGAACAGACAATCAGAAAACAATTTCCATGAGAGGCGTTTTTTAGGAGCGCGCGCGTTGAGGGGGGGTGTTCCTTGAAATTCCACGACTCCTCCCAGACAACAGGCGAATTTTCTAACACGCCCACTCCGTGCAGGCACTGTGGCGGATATTCCACGCGTTAAGACAAGCCGCGCGATGAACACCAATGTTCCCTTCTCGTTCATTTGGACGAATTGGTTTTGGAATAAGAGTGTAGTGTGATGTGATTCCAAGGTAAATGGTGGTTTCAAATCGACGGGATCATCGCGAGTAGCCGCAACGAAACGGTCCGTGACGGTGTCTGTCGCGAAGGCACTTGGGGAGGAAGACATCGATTGCAAGCGTCGTTTTCGTCAAATTCTACGTTCATGAGAGGCGAATGAGATGATGATAGCAGTGTTGTTTTTGAATTCGGTCTTGTAGCAGCTGTGAGTCTGGATATGCAAATGGCGACGTGATGTTCACCCGGTGTCGGTACCAGGTTGGATTCCATCAGATTCCCGTTTCGAGGCAACAATTGGTGAGACGCATTTGAGGTAGTTCTGAAGTTTCTCTTGTTTGTAAAGGGAACGCAAATTTGAAAGGCACCAGCGACGAAAAATATTGGGACAATTCATCATCTTTAAGCCCAACAGGGAAGGATCAAGGTTGGATGAATTTAAGGAAGAGAAGAACCAACCATCATATAACAACACATGTTGGATATTTTTTACGCGGTTCGACATTTTTTTGGATCGGTTTTGTAGACAAGATATTTTAAGTCGCGATTGCGGGGTTGTGCATCAGCGGTGGACTTATGAGCAATACGGCAGAGACGCGATCGTGCTGCAAAACCTGGGGGCACGGCGGAGGGCGGAGGTCAAGGTCGACATAGTTTCGACGTGTGGTTACCATGTGGAATTTCTATTTGCCCTGCGTGGGCTCGTCTGCTCGCGTTCCCTGGTGGCCAGTCTGCTCACGTTACTTCGTGGCTGGTCTGCCCGCGCTCCTTAGTCGCATTGTTCGGGCGAGGAACGGGAGGGAAGCCACGCGGTAATGCCAGTGATTTGCCCCTTCGCCACGGGCGAGGCAACGAAACGGCAGCGCCGATTACCTTTGTGTGTTGGTAGAGTTTTTGGCTTGGCTGCCAAATTCTACTATGCCTGTGCCTTGGCTGGCCAGCGATCGCAAGTGCCTGGCCTGGGTGCCATGCCCTAGACGTGTGCCATTGCAGTCCAGTGCTTGCTCTCGCGGGTCCCGGGCCTTGCTGCCATGCCCTAGGCCCGTGCCGTGGTTGGCCAGTGCAATGCCCTCCCGGGTCCTGGACCCTGCTGCCAATCGTTCGGTCTGAGTCCCTGCTGGTCAGTGCCCTGCCCTCGCAGGCCCCTGGCTTTGCTGCCTTACCCCGGGCCAGTGCCGTGGCTGGCCAGCGCCTAGCCCTCGCAGGTCCGTGGCCTTGCTGCCATGCCCGAGGCCCGTGGCGTGGCGTGCCAGTGCCTGGCAGCCGCTGCGCTCCAGGCGCGGATTGCGGACGGGGTCCCGCAGGGAACGCGCGGGTGCAGGCTGTGATTCAGTGCCTCGGCGCCGCGGAAGCAGCGCTGGGCTGTGCCGTCGCGCCTCATGTCGCGCGAGACGAGCGGGTGTGCCCATCCAGGCGTTTTGATTCCCGCTGCCGTCTGGGGCTCGGAGCGATCGCGTCGACCTGGTGGGCATCTCGTGCACTAGCCTTCTGCTGCCGCATGCCATGGGCGCGTGGATGCTCGTTCGGTGGGTATTTTCCGCGTCTTTCTCTCGTTCTCGCGTCTGCTAGCTCTTTCTCTTGCTCGTGCTTTTATTGCGCCTGCTCTCGCAGTTGCTTCTCCTTGCGCTTCCCCCTCGGCCTACGTATCCGGCTGCCCGCGGCGAGTTCCGCAACAGTGCCAGGGCAGCACCCTGTGTGGCGATGCTTCGAGCCAGGGCCAGACGGTCTGAACATGCGTCTGTATCTCATCTTGCTGCCTGCGCGTCGTTGTTTCTGGCCTGCCCGTCTCTTCCTCGCCGTCTGTCGTGGGGGCTTCTTGGGGGCCTCGTGGAGGCGCGGCCTTTCGGGGGCCTTTTCAAGGCTTCTGGGGTGCTTTTCGAGGCCCTCTCAGGGCTTTTTGGGGGCTTCTCAGGGGCATCTTGGGGGAATCTCGGGAGCATGCTGGGCGTCATGGGGGCCATCTTGTCGGTGATGGCTCCCTGGGCCTGTACGAGTTTCCTCTTGGGTTTCTCGCGCCCCTCTTAGGATCTTTTGAGGTTGTTGGGGCCCTCTTGGGGGCTTCTTGGGCAGTCTTGGCATTCCCTTGGGATATGTCAGGGCCCTCTTGGGGGCCTCTTCGGCCGTCTGGGGCCAATCTGGGGGGCCTCTCGGCCGTCTCGGGGTTCAGAACCTTGTGAACTGGTGAGAATGGGAAAATAATTCAAGCCCGTCGGACGATTTTTTTTAAGCCTCCTGAGACCGTCTTGTGGATCCTCTTGGGGCGTCCCCCAGGGCCATTGGGCCGTCTCGAGGCCATCTTGGATGTTCCAGGGGCCTCTCCGGCGCGTGGGAGATCTTCTTGAGCCACCTTCGAAGTCATTTTGGGCATTTTGGAGGCCGCGGTGGGGGGATTTGGAGGCCTCGAGGGCCAGGGAGGTGCGCCGGGGAGCTCCTGCATCCCCCCAATGGGATTTGGGACTCAAGGGGCCGGGGAAAAGGGGATGGGGACAGCCAAAGGTCTCACACGCCTCTTCACGTTCAGCAATCGGGGGTCTGCGGATTCCTGGAGGGGCTCTGATGGGGCCTCCCCGGGCCGTCTTGGGGCTGTCTGCTGTCTTGGGCTCTTGAGGCGTCGTCGGGCTCTCTTTGGCCGTCTTGTAGTCCTTCTTGGCCGTCTTAGAGCTGTCTTTGGCCGTCTTGGGCTTTTCTCGGCCATCTGGGGACTCTCTTGGGGCTGTCTGGGGGCCTCTTCGGGTTTTCTTTTCCTGTCTACGGCCTTCTTGGGCTGTCCTATGCCTCTTTTCAGCCGTCTTGGGGCCCTATTGGTGCGTCTGGGGCGCTCCTTTTGGGCCTTCATTGCGCTTGTTTGGCTTGTCTTCGGCTCTTCCGCGGCCCTGTTGGAACTGTCTTGAGCCAAGGCCCTGCTGGAACTGCCTTGAGCCGAAAAGCTTGGGAAACCCCAAGAAGTGGCCCAGGTTTTGGATGATTCTGGTTTTCCAGGAGGGGATTCCGGCTTTCTTTCTGGAGTCTTGAAAGCTGTTGGGTGCCTCTGAAGACAATTTTGGGGCATCTTGGCGGCCTTGGCGGTCTTCCTGGGCCATGTTGGAAGTCCTGGAAAGCTTTTGGGAGCCCTAGGGGAACGATGGGCCGCCCCAGGGAGGATCCGGAGGGGCGGGGCGATGCACGAAGAACTGCGAGTGGAGGGAGCGGGATTGTAGAAAATTAGCAGGAGCCCTGCCAGACAGACATAGTCTTTCAATTGCGCCTCGACGTGCTAGGGGACATGGTAGCGGATCCCTCCCCTCCCATTGCTCGTGTTGTTGTCTACGTCTTCTGTGTTCATTCCGATGGTTTATTGCTGCGATTCTATGAGTTGCCTCGTGATTTTCATCACCATCACCATCACCATCACCATCACCATCATCATCATCATCATCATCATCATCATCATCATCATCATCAACATCATCGTGGTCGTCATTATCAGCACCACCATCATCTTCATCATCGTCATCACCTTCATCGTCGTAATCATTATCATCATCACCACCATCATCGTCACCAGCAACAGCATATCATCATCTTTTCTCATTGTCATCACCACCATCATCGTCGCTATCATCATCATCATCATTGTCGTCGTCGTCATCATTATCATTGCCATCATCATAATACTCATCATCATCAGCATCACAATCATCATCATCTTCATCATCATCAGAGTTATCATCACAGTTAGTGGCATCATCACCATCAATCTGATCATCATGATCATCACAGTTGGTATCGTCATCAGCTTTATCAGTGGTATCACATCATTATTAACACCATCATCATTATCATCATCACCATCATAAACACCATCATCATTATCATTATCATCAACGCCACCATCATCACCATCACCATCATCATAATCACCATCAGTATCATCATCATCATCGGCATCATCATCATCGTCATCATTACCATCATCACCACCCACGTCATAAGGATTGTCATCCTCATTATCATCATCACCATCACCATCATCACCATCACAAGCATCATCGTTATCACCATCACCATCACCATTATGAACACCATCATCATCACCGTCACAATCACAATCACCATCGCCATCGCCATCACCATCACCATCACCATCACCATCACCATCACCATCACCATCACCGTCATCATGCTTATCATCACCACAACCATAACATGATGTATGTTTTGAGGATTTCTTGGGGGCCATGTAACGGATCCTGGTCTTTCTATGGTTCGACTCACGTTCGACTCGAGTTCGATGGACGTTCGACGCAGCATCGCCGCCCGAGTGGAGCGAGTGGCTCCAGGAAGGTCCCCAGAACAAGCATCTAATCATCGTCATCCGCTGTCACTTCTGCTCGAGGCGTCCGAGACTGGTATCGTCTTGATCCACGCTGCGGCGAGGCTCGTGCCGGGCGCTCTTCGATGGCCTCGCCGTCTCGGGCGGCGCTCGCGGCTTTGGGCGCTCTGGCGGCCAATGCGCCCTGGCTAATGCTCTCGGCCTCTCCCCAGGGCTCGCGGGCGGCGTGGGGCTGGTCGACCTCCACGATCAAGTGCATGCTGCCCGAGGGTGTGCTGTGCGCCAGCGACAACTCAACCTCCCTCGGCCCTGGCGAGGAGTGCACCGCCAAGTGCGAGTCGGGTGCCGAGATCTCGGCGGTGCTCGCAGTTCTGCCGATCGTGTGCCCGCAGACGGGCTGCGCGAACGTGACCGCCGGGGGCGCCTGCACTCAGGAGGCGGAGGCTCAGTGGGCGACACAGGTGGAGGTCGGCCTTTCGAATTGGTGGGGCTGGTGCTCGTTTGGGAGCGAGTGCGCGACAAGCCCCACGCTCGCCACCGAGGTCGCGACCCGCTATTTTATCGCGTGCGGGGACCAGGATGCCGTCGCCGGCGCCGCGCCGCGCAGGAGCTCGTCCATGGGGGTGGCGTGGTGGCCAGCGCTGGGTGCCGTGGCAGTGCTGAGCGGGCATTAGATGCGCTGTCGCGTGGGCGAGGCCAGCGAATTTTTTAGTGTCCCACCATAAATTTTTGGAGACCTCTAAGTCAATATCGTTTAGTCGATCCGCATCCCCACCGGGCCATGGTATTCCAGCCCCACCACCCCACCACCTCAGTTGGGGATTGTCCCCTCGAAACTCGAAGGGAACAGCCTATACCCCCGTCGAGGGGGTTAGGTCGGCCAGTGGGGTCCAGGCCACGCCAGTAGGGATAGGGGAAAGGGATCGGTTCAACGATGCGCAGTAAGCGCGGAAGTTCTCTCTACAGGATCGAAGCCGCCTCTGGTGAGTCACCGCCGCTGCCCGTGGTGGATTTCCGGACGGGGTGTGGAGGGGACGCGCAAGTGCGCGGCGGGGTCGAGGGCATGGCGGCAGAGGACGAAGAGCTCGCGGAGACTTCTTGATGGACTAGCCGGAAGGGGTGGCGCGGGACTTGGTGCGCCCAACTCGCTTGTGGGTGAGCCGGAGAAGGCGGCGAATTTGAGTCCTCTGGCGCCGGCCCTGCCTGGTGGCAGATTCGTGGCTTGGCGGCGGGTTGGAACTGTCTGTGGGCCTCGTTGGGGAGGTCTTGTGGCTCTTCGGGGCCGCCCTGTTTCTCCTGACCCTTCCCTCCTCGCTCTCGTTTCCTTGTCGCCTTCGTGCCTCAACTCGCTCCGGGTGCACCCCATCGCTTGCTGACAGGCGTCTGACTGTTTGGGACCACTTGGGCGCCCGCGGGCTGTTGCCGAGCGTACACTTTTCGCTGCTTTCCGACGCGTCCGGGGGATTCAGTGGAGTGCCCCCCCCGACGCAGGCCCAGCTATCCCCACCCGTTCATTGCGTACTGCCAGACGCACATTTGTTGCCATTTTCCTTCCTTTCGCTTCTGAAGGTCCAGCGGAGTGCCACCTGAGGCAGAGCAGAGTCTTACCCTCGCCCACTTGCCCGAACGAGCAATTGGTGCTAGTTTCGTGCGTTCCTGGGCTCCATCGGGGTGTTCTGCTGCGCAGATCCGGCCACGAGCCGGGCTTCTCGGACGTTGCCGCGGAGGCTCGGCTGAGTAACCTTCCCGCTTCGGCCCGAGATATTCTCCGGCCACGAGGCTGTTGCCACCTACAACTACACCTGTCGCTACTTCAGTACACCCTTGGGTGGTCCAGCGGAGAACTTCACGCAGATCCAGTTGTTTCCCTTTCCCCCCCTGGGTGCTGCGAAGCTGGCGAGTGTCGTGGTCTTCGTGTCCGCCAAAGCGGAACGCTCCTTACAGGCATTCTAACCGCATCTCATTTCCACGAACGTCGTTGACGGGTTAGGTATGAACTTGATATATTCTTCGTTGCGTGCTCTGGCAATGTTGGTGCCTCCCGCGGTCATTTCGGTTTTTTTTGCACTTATATTTTCCAGGTTCGCCACCTTCTTTCCACATGGGAGGGGTGGCGGGACGGAACAGTAGGAGGGTGAGGACGAGGTGGTGGCGGAGGCAGGAGGCACGAAGGATCAGGGAGGGTTCCTCGGGGGTAGCTGCGGCGTGCATCTTGCCCTGTAGAGGTCGAACCCTTCCTCTCCGTGGCCAGGGCCCATCTGAGGCGTTGACCGCGGCCGTCGGCATCGGCCCGAACGAGGAAATGGCGCGCCGCGGCCACGCGCGAGAGTTTTTCTCGGAGGCCCAGAGGTTGACACCAACACCAATCTCGGCGATGTGCCTCCACCGAGGAAAGATGATCCCGATCTCGGTGATGGTGGTAATATTCGGGCTTCCAAGGTGGCCGAAATATGACCACCAACACCAGAATCTAGGATCACCCTCCCCTGGTAGAGGCAACCCTCGGCTTTGGTGTTGGTGCCCATTTCTAAGCCTCCAATTTTCGGGGGTGGGGATCCTGCTATTCAGCTGCTTGCGGCAGGCCCCGCCGCCGGAGCGCAGTGGGAAGGAAAGGTGGAGCTCGATGCGCATGTATTTATTGCAGCCTCTCCGGAGCCTCTCGGGAGCCTGTTGGGTCCGTTTGGGAGGCCTCTTGGAGGTCTCGGGGGCGGAAAAGAGGGGGGTAATGACTAGGGGGGGGTGGATATCATGGCGGGGGCCATGATATTTCCCCAGATTTTATGGCGCCTCTTCTTATTTCATTACGTCCTTGGCCCCCCCGCTGGGCCGCGCACATGCCGCCGGTCATGATTTGCACCCCCCCCTCTTGGACACCCCCCTCTTGGCCGCTCCCGATGGTCTCTAGGTGGACTCCTGATGGGCCTCTTGGGGGTCTCTTGGGCATTTCTGGTGCTTCTTGGGGGCTCGTGGTCTCTTAGAAGAAGCGCGTCGGGGGTCATGGGGGCAGTCTTGTAGGAACGCGCGCTTTCAAGACCAGCCCGGTTCCCCGCCCTCTCGGGCTTTTTTTGTGGCTTTCCTGAGGGCCTTCTGGGCTGTCGTGGGGGCGCGTTGGGCTGCTGTGCCCCCCCCCCTCTGGGCCGTCTTGGGGGCCTCTTGGGCCGTCTTGGAGCCCCCAGGACCGTCTTGGGGTTCTTCTGGGACCTTGTTGGGCTGCACTTGGGAGCTCTCTTGAAAAGCTTGTGGCCAGTCTTGGACTTTCGGAAACCAGAGCGGGCCAGCATGGTTTATTCCTTCAACGTCCGAAGGCCGAAGTTTCTTCGTTGCTCTCGAAGGCGCCCTCTTGGAGCCACCGCATGCCGTCTCGTCTTGTGGGCTTTTTGGGACGTCGCCTAGCCACTTGGGCCACCTCGGGGCCCTCTTGGAGCACATGGGGGCCTTCTTGAGCCATCGTGGTGCCGCCGTGGATACTTCTGGCCGTCATCGGGCGGGCTTGGCCTTCATGTGGCGTGCTCGTGGCTGTTTTGGCGGCCCAGAGACGCTGGTTGGTTCCCGCCGTACTGTGGCGGGTTTTCGTTTCGAACAGAGCGCGGTTCGCGCGTCCCCGCCTTGCTTACCTGTTGCCTTCTCCCTCCACCCATCTACCTCCTACATCCTGCCTCCTACCTCTTACCTTTTCCATTGGGAGGCTGCCTCCCGCGCAACTGTCGCCACTTTCGTGGGCTCCTGGGGGGTCGCCCGGGATGATGTCCTACGCGCGTCTCGCTGCTCCCGGGGGCCTCTGCTGCCTGCGCAGGTGCCGCCATTTTCGTGGGCTCCTGGGAGGCCCAGCGCAGTAGCGCCATACGCGCACCCAGACCACACTTCGCGTCTCCTTGGGGGGGGGGGGCTACCTCCTGCGCAAGTGGCGCCACTTTCGCGGGCTCCTGGGAAGTCCACCGCAGTGTCCGCATACGCGCGTCCAGACCTGACCACGCGGCTCCTTCGCGGTGCTGCCACCTGCGCTAGAGGCGCTTCGTCTCGTTTGCCCTTGGGAAGCCCAGCGCAGTGGCGTCACGCGCGCGTCCAGACTAGATCTGGCGGCTCTCAGGGGGTCTTGCCACCTGCGCAATTGTCGTCATTGTCGTGGGCTCTTGGAGGCCCAGCGCAGTAGCGTCGTATGCGCATCCAGGCTGGACCTCGCGGATCCTTGGCGGTGCTGCCACTTGCGCACTTCTCGCCATTTTCGTGGGCTCCTGGGGGGCCCAGCGCTTGCCGTCGTACGCGCATGCAGTCTAGACCGCGCGGCTCCCTGGCGGGGCTGCCGCTTTCGCAACCGTCGCCACTTTCGCGGGCTCTTGGGAGTCCCAGCGCAATGGCGTCATACGCGCACCCAGACTAGACCTCGCGGGTTCCCGGTGGTGCTGTCACTCATGCCAAGGCCGCCACTTTTCGTGGATTCCTGGGGTGACCAGTGCAGTGGCGTCATACGCGCATGCCGAATAGACCTGGTGGCTTCCTGGTGGTGCTGCCGCCTTCGCTATTGGGGCCAGTTCCGGTGGCTCCTACGGGGCCCAGCGCAGTGGCGTCATCTACGCATCCAGAGTGGACCTCGCGGTTGCATGGTCGTGTTGTCACCTGCGCAACCGTCCCGACTCCGCGGGATCCGGGGGGGGGGGCAGCGTAGTGGCGTCATACACTTGAACTCGCGGTTCCCTGCGGGTGTTGCCATGTGTGCAATAGTCGTCATTTTCGCTAGTTCTTGGGAGTCCCAGCGCAGCTGCGTCATACGCGCGCTCAGGCTACACCTCACGCCTACTTGGGGGGGCTGCCACCTGGGCAAGTGGCGCCACTTTCGCGGGCTCCTGGAAGTCCAGCGCAGTTGCGGCATACGCGTGTCCAGACATGACCTCACGGTTCTCTGGCTGCGTTGCCACTTGCGCAAGTGGCGTGTCTTTTCGTGGGCCTCTGGGAGGCCAAGCGCGCTGGCGTCATACGCGCATCCAGGGTAGACCCCGCGGCTCCCAGGGGGTGCTGCCACCTGCGTAATTGGCGGCACTCTCGTGGTTTCCTGGGAGGCCCAGCTCGGTGGCGTCATACGCGCACCCAGGCTAGACCGCGCGGCTCTCCAGGGGTGCTGCCACTTGCGCAACCGTCGCCATTTTCGTTGGCACCAGTGAGGCCCAGCGCAATGAGGTCATATGCGCATCCATACTAGACTTTGTGGCTCACTGGTGGTGTTGCCTCCTGCGCAACTGAGGCCCAGCGCAGTGAAGTCATACGCGCACCCAGACTCGACCTCGCGGTTCTCTGGAGGTGTTTCCACCTGCTCAACCGTTGCCGCTTTCGTTGGCTCGTGGGAGGCCCGGCGGAAGGGTGCCATACGCGCATCCAGACTAAACCTCGCAGTTCGCGGGGGATGCTGCTTCTTGCGTAACGGTCGCCCCTTTTCGTAGGCTCCTGAGGGGCCCAACGCAGTGGTGTTATACGCATGACACCACTGCGCTGACACATTCGAGGGTAGTGTTTGATTCAATATTTCTGGTGCGTCGTGGAGCGCGAACCCCCCCGTGCAGATTTCACAACAATTTGCGTTGCATTTCATACAGTCATCCGCATAAGGCGGGCCCGCTGCCATGGTCACTTGTTGCAGATGGGTTGGGTACAACTCGTGTTTTTCGTTATTTGTTTGAGATGCGGTGTTGTGGCCGTGCTTTTTTCCTGGGTGTTGATTGCTTTTTAGGCTATTTCGTATTTTTGGTTGTGCCCCCCTGCCCCCCGTCGACCAGAGCCAGTCCTTTGTCACAGCATTTCCATACCGGAGTATCTTCCGGGGAGTGGCGCAACATCGGTGCGATGAGGGGATAGGGTCGGTCATAGACAACACCAAAGAAACCTTGCCAGACAACAGAGTGGCATTCTCACTCGCCAAGGCCCGGAGGCGGATTACTATCACGCCTCCGCATCCTCGTTTCCCGCTTCTTCCCTCCTACTCCCTCCTATGCTCAGACTCGGAGACTCGCCCGTACTCGGACTCATTGACACTTATACCCAACTGTCATTGACCGACGCCAAATGGGCGCTGGCCGATAATACACTAAAAAGACAAGGCTCCCATGATTTGTCACCGAAGCACAGTGCAGGGAAAATGCAAAGTGGCACAGCCCGCGCCCACGAAAAGACGTCGAACCCAATCGCCGCGAGCAGGGAAGGGCAAGAGCAGTAGCAGAGTGACGCCGCACCTGCAGCCGCAGAAGACGATGCCGAACGGGGAAGGGAAGCGGGGGCTGTCAGCTGCAGCACACAGTAATTGGCCAGCCAGCGGGCAAGAATGGACTGGCAAGACTGCGAAGTAAGCCTGTGCGCAGGAGCGGCTCAGGGGGGCAAAGCCTGGGAGCCCGGTTGCCCGAGATGTAAGCCACCGAGGCCGCAGAGGATGGAAGGGGGCCGCGGGCTGCGAGTGCCAAGGCAGCACAACTGAACAAAAAAGGCCACGAGAGTCATAACGGGTCACAGGGCCACGAGCAGCCCACTGAACTCTTGAGCATCACTTCAACCAAATCGACCTTTGAGCCCCGCTCTGCACACCAGGGCCACGAGCAACTCAATCGGCTCCCGAGCTCCTCCCCACACACGAGGGTCACGAAGGACTATGAGATAAGCTTTACGAATGTACAGTGGACGTAGACCAAACAAGGGACAACGAGCAACGATCACGAAGGCTGCTCACAACTCACTGCAACACCAATGCGAGCACGAGCAATCGAATCGACTCTTGAGGCCCACCTCACACGGGCGGGCCATATTATGCGATGCGCTCCAAGAATGCCACGGCGCCACAATGACTCGAAGCAAAAATTCTGAACCCACCCACCCACCCCTCAACAGATCGTACCAGAGGGCGCCGGCCTGCGCGTGCTCCACGGACTCGATCTCCACGCAGACGCCCATCGGCCGCGCCTTCCACGGACTGGCGACACTGGCCAGGAAAGAGAGCCCTTGATGCGTGGCCCGAGGAGACGAAAGCACAGGGATAAACAGCCAGAGGAGGTCACGCGGAGTTTGAAAAACATGTTTCCTCTCCACTGTTGGGCTCCTGATGCAATGGTCTGATCAAGCACGCATCCGCATGACACACCAGTGGACGACCAGCCAATCGGCAGCGGATGGGTGGCCCAGAGGACGAAACAGGCAGCTCCAAAAGGGCGGTCTGGAAAACATGGACAACAATCACGCACATGGACAAAATCAGTTGGACCAGCACACAAGCGCGTGTGATCTGTGTGCCAGGCGGAAGTCGCAGGCGGACGACACCGTGTGCCTTCCACATGGGCCCGCAAGCGGGCTCCAAGTGTAGAGTGGTGTCCTTCCTGCGCACGAGGAAATCAGAATGAACCACAATCCTCATTTTTGACCCCTCCATCTTCCTCCCCCTCCTGTCCTTGTGCCTTCCACATGGGTCCTCAAGTGAGCTCCGCGCGTGGAGTGCTGCCCTCCTCGCGCACTAGCTGACACACTTAGCCCCCACTCCTTCTGGACTCCTCCCCCTCCTCCTCCTCCTCCTCCTCGTCCTCCTCCTCCTCCGCCTTCTCCTCCTCCAAAGCCTCCTCCTCCTCCTCTTCTTCCTCCTTACCCTGCTCCTCCCCTGTCCTCCTCCTCCTCGTCTTTGACTTTGTCCTCGTCCTCATCATCGTCATCGTCATCAACCTCCTTCTCCTCCTCCTCCTCCTCCTCCTCCTCGTCCTCCTCCTCCGTCTCATCCTCCTCATCCTCCTCATCCTCCTCGTCCTCCTCCTTCTCCTCCTCCAAAGCCTCCTCCTCCTCTTCTTCCTCCTTCCCCTGCTCCTCCTCTGTCCTCCTCCTCCTCATCGTCTTTGGCTTTGTCCTCGTTCTCATCATCGTCATCGTCATCCTCCTCCTTCTCCTCCTCCTCCTCCTCCTCCTCCTCCTCCGTCTCATCCTCCTCATCCTCCTCCTCGTCCTCCTCCTACTCATCATCATCATCATCATCATCATCATCATCATCATCATCATCATCATCATCATCATCATCATCATCATCCTCATCATCATCATAATCATCATCATTCACATCATCATCATCATCATCAGCATCATCATCATCAGCATCATCATCATCAGCATCATCATCACCATCACCCGTATAATCAGCATCATCATCAGCAGCATCATCATCGGCATCCTCTTCCTCCTCATCATCACCATCATCATCACCATCATCATCATAATCATCCTCATATATCATCATCGTCATCCTCCTCCTTCTCCTCCTCATCATCACCATCACCACCATCAGCATCAGCATCAGCATCACCATCATCATCGTTGCAATCAGCATCACCATCATCATAATCATCATCATCAGCATCATCATCAGCAGCAGCAACAGCATCGTCATCATCATCAGCAGCATCGTCATCGTCAGCAGCATCATCATAGGTATCATCAGCAGCATCATCATCCGTGTAATCGTCATCGTCAGCATCAGCATCAGCATCATCGGCAACATCACCATCATCAGCATCATCAGCATCGTCATCATCATCAGCATCATCGGCATCATTCTCATCAGCAGCAGCAGCACCATCAGAAGCATCGTCAGCATCATCATAATCATCATCAGCAGCATCATCATAAGCGTCGTGACTATCATCATGATAATCAGCATCAAGATAACCATCATCATCATCAGCAGCATCATCATCAGCATCAGCATCGTCAGCAGCAGCATCATCATTGAAATCAGCATCGTGTTTATCACCATTTTCAGCATCATCAGCACCATCATCGTCGTCATCAGCATGAGCATCAACATCATACTGTCGTCGTCATCAGCATCATCCTCATCAGCCGCACCAGCATCAGCATCGTCAGAATCAGCATCAGCATCAGCATCATCATCAGCATCATCATCATCATCATCGGCAGTATCGTCGTCATCATCATCAGCATCATCCTCATCAGCAGCATCAGCATCATGATCGTCATACTCAGCATCAGCATCAGCAGCATACTCATCATCAGCAGCAGCATCATCAGCAGCAGCGTCACCATCATCATCATCATCATCATCATCATCATCATCATCAGCATTGTCAGTAATATGAACATCATCAACATAATCAACAGCAACATGGTCATCATCGTCAGCAGCATCATCAAAACCATCATCAGCATCATCAGCAGCATCATCAGCAGCATCACTATCATCATCATCAGCATCATCATCAGCATCATCATCATCATCATCATCATCATCAGCATCATCATCATCATCATCATCATCACCATCACCATCACTATCATCATCATCATCAGCAGCAGCATCGTCAGCATCATCGTAATCAGCAACAGCATCATCATCAGCATCAGCGTCATCATCATCATCGTCATCACCATCATCGACATCGTCATCAGCATCATCATCATCAAGATCAGCAGCGGCATCATCACCATCAGCAGCAGCATCAGCGTCATCATCAGCATCGTCGTTAGCATCATCGAGATCAGCATCGTCATCATCAGCATCATCAGCATCATCAGCATCAGCAGTATCATCATCATCGACGTCGTCAGCATCAGCATCATCATCATCATCAGCACCGTCATTATCATCAGCATCATCATCAGCATCACCATGAGCATCAGCATCAGCATCAACATCATCATAAGTATCACCCACATCATGAGCATCGTCGTCAGCATCATCAGCATCAGCATCATCATCGTCATAAGCAGCATCAGCATCAGCATCATAACCAGCATCAGCATCATCATCTGCAGCATCATCATCATCATCATCAGCATTCACAGTATCACCATCATCATCATCAACCGTATTAGTGTTACCAGCATCATCAGCAGCATCGTCATCATGGTCAGCAGCATCAGCATCAGCATCGTGACCATCATCATCATCATCATCATCAGCATCATCAACATCAACAGCCGCATCATCATCGTCGTCATCATCATGATCATCAGCAACATCGGCATCAGTGTCATCAGCCGCATCATGATTATCAGACTCAGCATCGTCGGCATCGGCATGATCGCCAGCATCAGCAGCATCATCAAGATCAGCATCGTCATCATCATCACAAGCACCAGCATCATCATCGTCGTCGCCAGCATCAGCATCATCATCAGCATCGCCGTCGTCATCATCATCATCAGTAGCAGCATCAGCATCATCGTCATAATCAGCATCAGCATCAGCATCAGAATCATCACTAGCATCATCAGCATCATCAGCATCGTCGTCATCATCGGTAGCAGCATCAGCATCATCATCGTCATAAACACCATCAACATCAACATCATAATCATCATCAACATCATCAACACCATCATCAGCATCATCATCCTCTCCCCCCTTGGCCGAGCGCCAGCCGGGGGGGTCGGGCGCGCCGCATCGTCGAAGGCTGTGCTGGCCTCCACGACCCCAAGCCTACGCCCGCCCTGCAGGGCGTACGCCAGCGCCTGCTCCTGCAGGCGGGGTTGGAGGAGGATGGAGGAGGAGGAGGAGGAGGAGGGGGAGGAGAAGGAGGAGAAGCAGGAGCAGTAGGAGGAGGAGGAGGAGGAGGAGGAGGGGGGAGGAGGGAGGGAGGGCGGGCGGGCGGGCAGGATGATGAGGATGAAGATGAGGATGAGGATGAGGGATGAGGATGAGGACGATAAGAATGTGATGATGAGGAGGAGGACGACGACGAGGAGGGCAGAGGAGGAAAAGGGCGGAGGAGGAGGAGGAGGAGGCGGAGGGAAGAGGAGGAGGGGGCAGGAGGAGGGAGTGAGGAGTGAGAGGGAGTGAGGAGGAGGAGGAGGTGGAGGAGGAAGAGGAGGAGGAGGAGGGGCAGCAAGTGGGGGGCAGGATGCCAACCGGACAAGCGATACAGCTCACCCAACATGTGTACTCACGCCTTCTGTGCTGTTCAGGACTGCAGCATCAGGAGGGAGATGGGTGAAGTGGGAAAACAGGAAGAGGAGGAGGAGGAGGAGGAGGAGGGGGAGGAGGAGGGCAAGGTGAGGAGGAAAAGAGGACGACGAGAACAGGGGAGTGCAGGGAGGAGCAAGGCAGGGGGGGAGGAGGGGAGTGTCAAAAGTCAAAGTCGCGAAAGTTTGGAAGTTCGAGCGATTAGACGGTAGGAAGGTGGCTGCTGCACGGACGAACATATCAAAACTCCAGTTCTGAAACTAGATAGTCCCCAGGCAGGGTTCAAGCGCTTCGATTTTTCAGCTTTCACCGCATTGCCATGTTGCCAAGCCTTCAGCATGTCAAGCCTCAAGCCCTTATGCGGTCAAAGTCGAACTTCAAGGTGCGAAGAATGAATGTAAAACTCCAAACGGTGTACAACCGAAATGTTTGAAATAGTGGCATCAATTGGGCGTGAGAGACTGTACCCAGCTTGACCCTTGACCATGGCAAAGCATCCAGAGAGACGCGTGTGCAATGTTGGACCTTCAACCTTGCCTCAGCAGAAAAGCTTGAAGAGCCAGGGCGATGGCGGAGAAAGGGTTGCCGAATGGGACGGGGGAGGGAAGGAGAAGGAGAAAGGCGGGAGAAGGCAGGGTGAGAAGACTTGTCCTCCCCCTCCATATCCCAGTCTGGAATACCCTCCTCCTCCTCCTCATTATCATCATCATCATCACCTTCATCCTCAAAATCCTCCCCCGCATCAGCAGCAAAACCAGCATCATCACCGAAACCAGCACCATCACCATCGTCGTCAGTATCCTTACAATCACACTCATCATCATGATGATGATGATCATCATCATCACCCTCATCCTCCTCGTCAGCATCGTCATCGTCAGCATCAACATGATCATCATCCGCATCATCAGCAACATCGTCATCGTCGCCAGCATCATCATCAGCATCGTCATCATCATCATCAGCATCATCGTCGTCATCGTCGCCATCATCATCATCATCATCATCAGCTTCAGAATCATCCACGTCATTATCAGCATAATCCTCATCATCATCACCTTTTTCATCAAAATCACCGTCATCATCAGCCTCCTCAGCCTCATCCTCATCGTCATCAGCATTACCCCGAATCCTCAACAGCATCATCCTCATCTTCATCGTCGTCTTAGCCGTCAGCAATCATCAGGCTCATCATCATGACCATCATCAACAGCATCATCATCAACACCACGATCATGATCAGCATCATTATGCTCATCATCAGCAGCATGCTCGTCATCATCAGCATCCTCATCATCATCATCATCATCATCAGCATCATCATCATCATCGCCATCACCATCATTATCAGCAGCAGCAGCATCATCGTCATCATCAGCATCAGCATTACCATCATCATCATCATCATCAGCATCATCATCATCATCATCATCAGCATCGTCATCATCATCATCATCATCATCAGTATCTTCATCATCATCAGCATCATCATGTTCATCAACATCATCATCATCAGCGCCAGCATCATCATCATCATCAACAACAACAGCAGCATCATGCTCATGATCAGCATCATAGTCATCGGCATCATCTCCATCATCATCTTCATCATCGTCATCGTCATCA